GTGCGGGGCATCTACAGGTGGGCGGACATGACATCAGCAGGACTTGCAGGCTGGACGCAGAGGGAGGGTTTCTCCTGGAGGAAGTGGATGCTAAAATTTTCATTCACCGAGACAGAGAATGCTGGGAGAAGGCCAAGTTCAAGTTCAGGGGCGGAGGGGAGGTTTGCTCACAGGTTTAGTTCAAGGCATGTTTACTTATATGGCCTTGGGGAAGCCACTTAACCCCTCTAAGCCTCGAAATCCTTGTGAGGATTAAAGGAGATCGCATGCCTGAAGGCCTGGCTACTGAGAGTAGACGCTCAGTGCATGGTGGTTAGTGTGCGTATTGGGATTTTAGACAAACACTGAAGCAACTTCGCCTGGCCTTCCACAGAGGGTCCGGGTCTTTCACTTTACACTTCAGATTTCATCTTTCTTGAGACAGTATGTGATCCACAAATACAAGATCCTAAAGCAGAATGCCCCATCTGAGAACAAAGTAAATCAGGATCCTTGGATCCACCGGGGAGGAATTCACATTTAATTTATTCACGAGGAGATTCCTTGATCTGCCCTTTAAAAAAAAATTATTGTAAATCAAGTTCTGAGACTTGTACACATGGTGCTTTCTCTTCATCCTCTTGCACAGGGAAACCTGCATTTGACTGTCCAATTTATGAACTTTAAGGATAAACATATAATATATATTTAACAACTATTTCTTAAGCACATCCTTTATGTAATAAACTATGGAATGAATACAAAGACAAATGAGGCACATTCCTTGTTCCTAAGGAGACTGAGGGTCTGATGGGAGTCACCCACACCCACTGAAATACCACAAGGCAGTGTGCAATAACAGAGGGTGGGGAGCAGAACGCTCAAGGCTGAGAACAGCAGATCCTAAGTGTCAATTGGAAACCGAAACACAGAGCTGCTTTCAAATGCTGCGCCAGCCCCCTGGTTTTGGTGGTGAAGCGTCCTATTTAAGTTTGGGTCTCAAAAACCAGCTGGATGGACACTGTCTCAACCCCGTGACAGAACAAAAGATAAAGGGACTATCAAGTTTGGATATAATAAACATAGACAGCCAAAAATCACTATTAAATTGAATTCTTTTGGGGGGATGAGGGAGATCTTAGTGGATCTGGGAGATCTGCTGAGTCTAAGGAAAAAAAGTATTTGCTACAGAGAAAGATTTTTCTAACATCAAATTAGAGAACTACTCGTACAGCCAGGGAAGTGATAGATATTATATCACATGGTTGACACCCATGGTTTTGTCTCATAAAAGTAACTTGAAAAACATCCACACAATTCTGCCTGGCACTAGGTCTGCTAAACACCTTCCAGTGTCAGCTCTCTAAGAAACAGCAAACTCAAGGAGCCAGCTTAACTCACGTGTTTTTGCACTTTGTAAAATTTCTTCTGAAATTTAAATTAAAACCAGTTCTTCAGTAATGGTCTTTATTTTCATCTATACAGCAGTTTAAAGATGCCATTTATTTTCTGTCTGCCCTGAGATTGGAAAATGAGGCATCGCTGAAGACAAAGCAAAGCTAATTCTAGGAATTTCCAAAATCAAAGACTATTCCTAGAACATCCTCACATCAGGGAAACTTGAGAACAATCTTAGAGAAGCCACCTTCCAGATGGTCTTGTCCTCCAATAACTGAAATGATTAAGGCCAGAATATTCACCGAATTGCTTGAAATAAGAGTCTAGTGTTCAGCTAATAGGTTTTGTCAGTTAGTCTCCCGAGTTAATCCAAAACGAGTTAATCCAAAACTTCCCCTTCTAGCAGGCTGGTAGCCATTAAGCAGAAAAAGTAATTCTATTAATGGGAAAATTGGTGTCCAACACATTCTCTGAGACCCAACTCAAATGTCACCTCCATTACTGCCTCCCTGGTCTTGGTACACAGCTCTTTTGGAGTCTTTGTGACATTAAATGGAAATTGCTTCCAGTGCCCATCTGTTCCTCTACACTGTGAGCTTCTCAAGGGCAATGACAAGGGCATGTGCATTTTTGTGACATAATCCCTGACACATAGTAGGCATCCTATCTGAATTAAATGAATAAAAGGCAAACAGGGAGAGAAACACAGAAATACAATCAAGAGAGACAAGTGTCCCAGAGAAATAACAAAACTGCACCCGTCACAAGGCCATACAAAAAGAGAAGGGCAATGAAAGCCACTGGAGTTACAGTGACATGTCCAGGAGGCTGCTGAAGAAGCTGGATGTCAACCAAGGACCTGGGTGTGAGAGCCTGTCATTTCTCCCCACAACTGTCACCTCCTTTGAAAGTGATCTTGCCTTGCTATTTCCCCTTGGGTCTGGCTCATTGGTGAAGGGGATGGAACAACTCCAGAAGCTGGGTGTGTTGTCTGAGGCAAGTCCCAGGCTCCCACCCAAGTAATATATACGTGGCTGGGGTTTGAGTTCCTTGCTGTTGCTTTTTCTTTGTTGATTTTTAATGGCAAGTGGAAGGCAAGGGGTCTTACTGGCAAGTGGAAGGCAAGAGGCCTATGAATGATCAATGCACTCTCTGAATGGGCCATGTGCTTGAGGAATAAATCTAGTTGCACAATCCCCTCAAGATACACCATAAAGTTCTATCACCCTCGTCATGCAAGCCTTTATCAAAGCAGGAAGGGGGGTTTGCAAATTCTATACTCAAACAGGAGTTCAGATGAAAATCTTACATCTTTTGGCTTTGATGCTTTTCAAAGGAAATTTGTATCTTTGTAAACGCTCCTGGGGGTTGTTTTTATAAACATGATTTTTAAAGCAATCTTTTAGATCAGACATGGATAAACAGCACCAGAAATGTTATACGATGTTTTAATGTCTAACTTTAGTCTTCGTCTTTTTTTTTTAAGATTGTCACTTGAGCTAACACCTGTTGCCAATATTTTTCTTTTTTTCTTCTTCTCCCCAAAGCCCCCCAGCATGCAGCTGTACCTTCTAGTTGTGGGTGCCTCTGGTTGTGCTATGTGGGATGCCGCCCCACCATGGCCCAATGAGCAGTGCTGTGTCCGCACCCAGGATCTGAACCTACGAAACCCTGGGCCACTGCAGCAGAGTGGACGAACTTAACCACTCAGCCACTGGGCTGGTCCCAGTCTTCATCTTAGTAAGCTTAAATTCTTAATTCTATGAACAGATACTCTCGAAAAACTTTTCTTCATTTTTTTCATCGGGAATCATCAAATCTTAGAGCTGGAAGGGGCATCGTCAGCCATCTGGTCCAATATACACACCTGGACTCTCTCTCTGCTACACAGAAGTAGAAAGAATCCGGTTTAGCATTGTCAGGAACCAACTTTTGTACTGACAGGAATCCAATAAACAGAATTTTATTACTGATTACTGAAAGGTAATATATCCCAAAATGTATTTCATATAAAACTAGAGACTTCTGAGATAATTTTTTTAAAAGATTCTGTGATCAAATGTGTTTTATACGTACAGGGCTAAACAAAGTTTAAAAAGCTCTTTCTGTTTTTATTTTAAACTGTCATACTTCTCAGAACTTGTAAGACACCAATATGTACATCATGAATATCCAAGAGGGGGTAAAGTATGCAATGGAAAAGAGCCTGAAACCTTCTTCCCCATGAAATATTCATTGTGTCATAAGATGCTAGTGTTCAGTAAAACACAGCTTAGGAAAACTGGCTACAAACTTTTCAGCTGTAATGAACATCTGTAATTTGCAGTAGTTATTGGCTTTTATTCACAGAGATAGAATATAAATTTGTCCTTGAGCTTCCTAGTAGCCAGTGCAAAAAGGAATGATCACATGATCAATGATCACAAAAAAAGTTCACAGCATTCATCAGATGACAACAAACCAGTTGTTCCAAAAGCACCAGCTATTCTTGGTAGTTGGAACTGAAAGGTACAGCCCTCAAAGATCATCATAAAGAGTATCAGGATGACATCCTCAGTAACACCCACTTCAGTGCATAAAATGGAATTTCATAGGAAATCTTCTAACATCCTTTTCTGGAGACTGATGGAAGACTGCCACAGTGCAGTTCAGTAGAAGCCCTTTAGAAGGAGTGGCACCACGTTTCAAATATCCATAGCTCTTCATTGCCTAACTTAACCCAAGATTCCAGTCCCACTTTGCCGCTACCAGCCACACCTGTCACTGCAGGTGCATCATTTGCCTGCTCTGGGGTTGAACTAGACGAACCCTGAAGTCCAGCTTGAAAATTCTAGAAGTCTATAGAATTTATTACCTTGTTTTTCAGAAAAATGTCAAACTTTTAGTCTCCTTTGCAAGTGTCAATTGATCCTTGTAGGTATCTCACGTGGCTTTCGTAGCTTACACTCATAGGAGATATGCTGAACACCACGAAAACCTCAAGCCGTGGTAATGTGTCAGAAATTTGGAAGAACAAAAAGAAAAAGGGAGAAACTAAGAGTAGAAGTGGGAGAGTACAAAAATCATTTTATCTACTTGAACATTTTTCTTTACATCTTCTTTCGCTTCTTTAGGAGACTTTAATAATAATTGATGGCAATAATAATCATAATAATTTGCTCTAAATCAGCCTATAGTTTCTTAGGAAATAACAATATTAGTGGGAGTGGTAACAGTAATAGAAGCAGCAGCAGCAAACACTTATTTGGTGCTTCCTACATACTGGGCCCTATTCTAAGTGTTACACATAATCACTCATTTAATGCTCACAATAATCCGAAGAGGTGGACACAGTTCCCATCCTATTTCACAAATGGGGAAACTGTGACTCCAAAGGGTGGCATAACTTGCCTAAAGCCCTGTGAGTAGGAGCAGCCGATGCAGAACTCAAGCTGGCTCTGGTGTCCGCGGCTCACCCAGCACACACGCGGCCTCCAGGTACCTGTAGTCAGAAACTGCTGCTCGGCCGAGAGGCGGCCTCACTGCAGCCATATACTGGCTATTAGAGAGAGCACCCTCCTCTCAAAGGAAGACTTTGCTGAAGAAGAGATGTGGGGCTTTCTAAGAAAAGTGGCTCCATAAACGCAGAGAATAAAGATTTTAATAATCAATGATTATTACCCAAATATTAATACAACAGAAAACAATTCTGCAGTTCCCCGAAAAATCAAAGGTGGTATCTCCATGATGATGCAGCGGTCATGACTCCTTTGGTAAAACTTGAACACGCGGACTGCCCTAAAAGCCACCAGAGTTCAGATGGCAAGGGGGTGAGGGCGTGCAAACTCCCCTGGGAACAGAGGAAGGCCCTGGGTCCACACTCAGACGTGCAGGGCTCCCAGGCTGTCTTCCTCCCTGTCAACATGACCTACTCCAGTTTGCTCCAACATCCCGTCTTCCTTCCAGCCCTTCTCCCCTGCCTCCCAGCACGGCTTCCTGTTGGACACATAGGAGAGGAGGGTATTTGAAACAGTCTGGCACCACCCCAACACAGAATCACCCGTTCTAATCACGCATCCAGGAATCCCGTGTCACACTTCTAACCACCTTTCATCAGAGGATCTCAAAGCACTTTTCAAACAGTAATAATCTTCTCTTCTTATGTATTTTCCTCCTAAGAGCTGAAAGGAGAAACACAATGATTATATGTCTTATTCCTTAAACTACTACCGACTTTTCTCTTGAAACCCTTAAGCCAAACACACACACACACACACACACACACACACACACACGTACGCACAGAGTGAGAGAGAGAGAGAATTTTTTTAAATGGTGACAGGGCAGTGGATTCTTCATATCCAGTCCTGCGCTCACAGCATGGGTGGGGCCCATGCCATCTATATACCATAAGCGTTAATGATGACATAAAGTTTTCCAGCAGATCAGCAATAAAATAAGACTCCCTTTCCCTTTGTGAAGTTGCCTGCCTCCTGTTACTAATCTGTCTTCTCTGAGCCACCCATACCCTGACTGGGATAGGTGGTTTTAGCAAGACCACCCTTTTCTCATCCAGCCCATTTTGTAGTCCTGAAGTGCAGAACTTCCCCCATCAAGAACTGTGCATTTCAGAATTGGGTGAATTAGTTCTTAAACGTTGGCTACTTTCAAAATTTGAATGCGATCAGCTTGGCCCTCTCAAGTGAACTGCAAACCCATGGTAATTTCCTAATGAACACGGACCACCTAAGAGGCGAAGTTGAAGCGACCTTTGGCTTGGCTTGTGCTACTTTCCTTTGGTTTCTCTCCTACTTGGAGCTTTGAGTCAAAACAGTAAGACATTGGAGAAACCTGAAGCTGCTGTTGTCTCAACATTCCCCGTGGCCTCCTTCTAGGAGCCCCATCCCCAAACCCCACATCCAGCCCAATGGCTCTGCCTGGCCTGAGGAGCAGCTCTGGGCCATTTCAGGGTGGTCCCCAGAGAAGGAGCTGTGCTTCCTGGGGGCAGACTGCGAGGCCCAGGAGAGCCCCTTGAGGCCATGACTTTGGATCACCCTTGGAAGTCTCAAGAAGCCATTGCATAGCTTGTTGCCCTGTATGGTGAGCAGAATATTCTGGAAAGCAGATTTTGACTCCTTCAGCTGTGAGATGTAAGCTTTAAAGTGTATATCGCAGTTATCGCTCTTGGAAAGTCAGGATTTAATGTAACTGCTACCCTGCTTTCAGCATCACATTAGAATCCCTGCCCTCACTTTCAGGAAGGGAAGTGAGCTTTGAGACCTTGCCCAGCCTTGACTTTTGGTCTTCTCCAGGTCCCTCCACCCATCTGGAGATGCTTTCTGTCTCAGTGTCTTCCTTTCAGTCATCCATCCTATGAATACTCTACTCACCTAGTGTGTGCCAGGCTTTGTGCCAGAGCCAAAGGAACGAACAAAACAAACGCCAGCCACGCCCTCTTGAAGCTACAGTCTGGAGGGCACACAGATGGTAAACAATCAGGCAAATAGCTGCATTATTCCAGAGCTGTGATACGCGCTTTCTGGAAAAGTAGAGAATGCCATGAAGGAGCATAACAGGCAGGCCTAATGCAGGACACTTGTGCAAGAGCATTTGTCAGACCATCTGTCCAGAGCGGTGGACCCCATGGGCGTGCGCCACAGCCAGAGTGTGCTTCTCATAGCTGCCCTCCAGCTCTGGCGAGGATTCCTTAAAAGAAAAGCAGCTGTCTTCAGGGTTCGCCTTAGCGAGAAATCTGGACTGTCGTCCCAGTTTGCTTTAAATCGTAGAGTTTGAAGAGACTTCAAGAAGCAGGATCTCCCTTGGGGCTGGCCCCGTGGCCGAGTGGTTAAGTTCGCACGCTCCGCTGCAGGCGGCCCAGTGTTTCGTTGGTTCGAATCCTGGGCGCGGACATGGCACTGCTCATCAAACCACGCTGAGGCAGCGTCCCACATGCCACAACTAGAAGGACCCACAATGAAGAATGCACAACTATGTACCGGGGGGCGTTGGGGAGAAAAAGGAAAAAATAAAATCTTTAAAAAAAAAAAAAAAAGAAGCAGGATCTCCCGTCACACGGCTCCAGGGCAACCTTCACATTGTCATCTATTGATGGGGCCTCCAGAGTTACACACGCAGCTAGTTAATGACAAAGCCCGAATTTTCTAAGTAAGATTTCTAACTCGTGGAAGAATATTCGAGCAACTGTGGATCTTCCAGAGCACTTATCACTATATCTCTCCCATTTCCCCTTTAAAACAACATTGGCAGGCAGAGATTTCATCTCTTCCCAATAACTCTGTACAGGAAGCATAATTCCCCTTAATTAATTCCAGACTTTCCCGCTTTGCCTGGTGACGGTGGGCGCCGGCCTGAAAGGGAAGCCCAGGGCTGGGTGCTGGCCCTGGGCATGGCTCACAGGAGTTCACCAGCGGTTCCTTGAGACCTTCGTGGTGACACGTGCCCTAAAGCGGACCCTCCACACTGCCCACGAGGAAGTGGTGCACGGGCTTGGTTCCCAAAATACGTGCAACATGAGGTTTAAGAGGGCAGGCTCTAGAATCAGACCGACTTGAGCATGCATCTCGGCCCCACCACTAGCTAGCTGTGTGACTCCGGGTGTGGTCTTCAATCTCTTTGGGCCTCAGTTTCCTCATCCATAAACCTCATGTTCTGTGTGTGTGCACATGTGTAGATTAAATGAGATAATGTATATAAAATGATTAGTCAAGTGCTCAACATAAACACTCAATATTTGTTAGCATATTTATATTTATATTATACATATATTTAGCAAAAAAAAGTACACATATATAAAATAGCAAGCACCTATATGTCAGCAACGTGCTCAGAGTCATACGGTTATTAAGTGACAGAGCCATTTGCTAATTTGAACCTGTGTGGTCTGGCTCTGGTGGCTTAACCATTCTACTATAAATAGCAAAATAAAAAAGAGGGGGGAGGGGGAAGAAAAGAAAAGGGAGAAGAAAAATAGAAGGAGGAGAATAAAAAGGAGGCGGAATAAAGATTTAAGGCAATATTTTAAAAAATCAAAACTGATGCAAAAAATCCATGATAAACCAACTTTCAAAGTTTTAAATGAAGACAGGATTAGTATTAGCGACTTTGTCTTTGCCTTAGGCTCCAGCGTGGCTTTGCATGACACTGAAAGCCATCACCATTTGTGGGAAAGTGTGCTGGCTTGCTTCTTCTTCCTGAGATCTGAGAATCGATGGGCCGTGAGTGAATGTCTGGGGCTGGCTCGTAGCAGCTGGTGAGCGCCAATTCCACGCAACTCTTCCCAACTCCACGTTAAGGACATCATTTTGATAGCTTGAATTCAAATACGGTGAGAACTTTATACCAGGGAAATGGGCAAAGGCCCTTTTTTCCCCCCCGAAGATGCCCATTTACCTAGTGCAAAGTTTGTCAACTCTCTATTTGGCAACAAACATCGTTGGCGAGGGTACAGTTTTAGAGCTGGCTGTACTGCAGGGTACAACTGACATTTGGGGCCAGGTAAGTCTGTTTTGGGAGGCTGTCACGTGCATTGTAGGATGTTTAGCAGCATCATTGACCTCTAACCATAGCACTCCTCCAACCCCTCGATGACAACAATCAAAAGTGTCCAAATGCTGTCACACGTCCCTGGTGCTAGAGAGGAGGGGACACACATTGTTCTTTTGAGAACCAACAGCGACCAAAGGGGACAGCCCCAGGCTGAGGGAGCCCAGACACTGTGAAACAGTTGCTTCCACCCTTTTCCCAGCAGGAAGAGGCAGCAGTTGGAAAGAGCCTCCTGGCTGGGAGTTTCCTGGCTTTCCGGGGAGGTTTGTCATGCCTCCCTCAGGACTGGTTTCCTCAGACAAAAACATTTGGTTAGTGTAAGGGTAATCCAAATGATGATTAGAAACAGATTACCCAGCTCAAGACTTGTGTTTGGCCAGGAACAAAACCACACACACAAATCCCTAATCACTTTCCAGGAAGAGGCCTCTCTTCAACTGGGAAGTGGGGACAACGGGCCGTTTCTTGAACTTTTCATCTTTTCACGTATTTATCCATCCCTGTGCTTCCACTGGCCTCGAGGCAGCTTCCAGCCAGGCCCAGAATCTTTGAACACACTCCCCTGCCAGTGCAGCCAGGATGTGTGCACAAAGGTGGTCACCTGCCGTCAGCAGATCCTGACAAGTAGATTTCTGATTTTCTCATCACCAGGATTTGGGACAAAATATGAGGTGAAATCATCTTTGGTACAGAATTAAAACTTTATAAATAATAATTTGCCACTGAAAAAAAGTTGGCCAGCAATTTTTACCCACTTCCTGCTGTGAGTTTCTCTCTCTCTTTCATACACACACATCCACTCCCCACCCCCACCACGCACACACACAGACACACACTCATCTTGGCAGCAGCTGTAGCCAGATAGTATCTTCATCCTGGACGCCTTCTTGATTCCCAACACACAGCTGTTGAGTTGGCCCTCACTCACCCTCTCCAGCTGCTGTTTGCAGAATTAGAAGCTGGACAACTGAAGAAGAGGCTATGCTAAGCAACGGAGGAGAGAGTTAATGCACTCCTTTCTTGGAATCTCAAGGATCTAAGGACTGTGTTGGGGGGATCAGGACTAGCCATCCAGGCACCAGAAAACACCCGTCCACCTGCCCTTCCCCATGCAACCGGAAACCCAAGCCCTTTTTTAGGTGATGGAGGAAGCTAAATAATTTGCCATTTCAACTACTACCCCAGTGACGACAACTCCCAAACCTTCATCTTCAGCCCTGACTACATTCTTGAGCTCCAAATCTGAATTTCCAGTGTCATGTCCACAGGTGCACCTGCCAGCCCCTCAAATGCAACGTGATCCATGTGAAGATCCCCATTCCCAGCCTAGGAGACCCTTCTCCTGGGGTCCCCTCTCAGTGCCATCCTCCCCCACCCACCGCCCCTGGAATGCACAGGCTTGAAACCTTGGATCACCTTCAAAGCCCTTTTCTTCGACATCCCCACATCCATTCTGTCTCTCAGACCTGCCCCTTATATTCAATTCTACAGAAATGATTCTCTCACCTAAATTACTGCACTACTCTGACCACTGATCACTCTGCCTCATTTCTGTCCTTAACCTAGACACTCTTTCCTAAACAGCTCAAACTTTGTCCCCTGCTTATAAAACAGCAATGGCATTCCTTGACCTATGATGGCCCTGAACAAGTTTCTCAAAGACTGCCATGGTTTACCCGCCACCTCACTTTTCCCTTCTCACGTGTCCTTGGAGCCCTCCCTTTCTTCCAGCCATCACGAACCACTTGTCCCCCTACAGCCGGGCGATCACACTCCGCGGCTGCACGTGCTGCTTTCTCAGTCGGGAGACTCTTTCACCCCTTTCTCTGACGACCAGCATTGAGTCCGGGATCAAACGCTGCCTCTTCACCTGGAAAATCTGTTTCCTCTTCTTTCTCACGATTCTTTGAGAGAGATATATACATATACATATTTTTAAGAGTAGTTTATATTTCATACATCTTATACATCTTATGCCTTAGCCAGCCCCCTACCCTCATTCTACATATTAGCATACTGAGGCACCTTATCTGCATTTGCTTGTTAGTTGCTCAGGAAATAGCTCCTGAACTAAAACCAATTCCCAGAAAGAACAGGCCAAATTCAACAGGTGAAACTAGGGTAAGATTCGCTCTAGGGGCAGCACTGAAAGGGGAAAACACATTGCAAGAGTAACATATAATAAGACTGTGGGGATGGAGGGGGCAAGAGCAGATCACCCCCTTACTTTGGCAGTGAGGAAATGGGAGGAGGTCCACACCACCCCAGTCTCCAGTTCCCTCGGCGATCCCCCACCTTCCTCTCTGGAAAGAACCCTGACTCAGCAATGTCCCAACGCCTGCGCTGGACCGGAGAACAAACTCAACACTGCCTTGGGGTCAAGAGTTAAGAAACCAACCCCGTGAGCCCACTGGGCCAACCGCACACCACAAAGCCTTTCCGCAGAGATTTCCTTAAATGTGGTAACTCGATACTAAATCTTCCCTTAGTGCAGATCACGTATTTAAACTGCGGTTCTTTGACTTGAAATATTCCTTTAAAAAAAAGCCTCAGGGGACTGTTGAGGAGCGTAATTACAAGGAAAGCCCATATCCCAAGCCAAAAGTTTCTTCGAAAACTTTTAAAAAATCAGCCCTGCTGAAGTAACTAGAAAAGGCGAAAAAGTGAGGAAGACAACAAATCGTTATTTTTTAACTCATATTCAAATCTCATTTGTTGAGCCCCTACCTTATGCAGGGAGGCCACTGGATCTAAGTGTCACACGTCACACAGGTGGGTGGAGTTATCTTTATTTTCGAAATGGGAAGACTGAGGGTCAGGAGCATGTATGTGACTTGACTTTGTCACTTAACTAGCTGATAAGCTTTTTGAGGCGTGCCCAGTCTTACAGTGTCTTCCACCGTGTCGAAGAGTAGTATGTGTTCAACAGATACTTGCTGAGCCTCAAAATTAAGATTCCCCGCCCTTTTGTGGAAGACATACCTTTAGTAATTTTTCTCCTCCCTATAAACAAGAAGTCACCTCCTCTCGCCTCTGAACGCCCACATGGCAGCCAGAAGAAGGAGACTTCCTCCTCCATGGAGCATAAATGATGATCGCTGGGCTGCGGCCAGCCCTGAACTGCACTCCCCAGCTGCCAGACCACCCCTCCCACGGTGCTCCCAGCCAATGAGTGAGTGCCGCAGCTGCCGGACCACGCCTCCCATGGCGCTCCGAGCGAATGAGTGCGTGCGGTGGTGATGCCAAAGCGTGGGTTCCCGGGAGACAGGGCACTCCTCTGACCTTCAGCTTTGGCTGGTGGGTTCCTCGATGGCCTCGCCGAACCTCTCTTGGACTGAGCTAGAATGTAGAGGACGGTCTTCCGAACCTTCCTTTCTTCCCTTCTTCACTCTAGGGTCAGACTTGCCTCACAGTCTGACGACTCTCCTAGTTTCCTCTCCATTTTTTTTCGTATGCCTTCCCCCTAATAAAATCCTGGCAGGTGTAAACCTGTCTTGATGTCTGCTTGGAAGACTAGGGACTAACATACCCCAGTTTTTGCTTTAATAAAAAATTTATAATCTTCATTCACTTCAGAGTATTTGGTGAGCACCTGTTGTGTGCTGGGAATACAGTGGGAAACAACAAAAGCATTACTGATGTCCTTAAGGAGCCGGTGGATTAATCAAATAATTACAAGAATTAAAAGCAGAGGGGGCTGTGATGCGATGTAACAGGTGGAACCTGACCTAATCTTTGGGATTGAGAGGGAATCCTTTTAAGAAGAGGGGTTTAAGCTGAGACCTGAAGTATGCGGAGTTGCTAAGGAGGCAACGGTGCAGAGTAATTCAGGCTGATGGAACAGAAGGTGCAAAGGCTCTGAGGTGGTAGGAGTCTCAAAAAAAAGAACACAAAGGCTGTGGGGAATGTAGAGCAATGAGACTGAAGAGGAGGCAGGGCCCATCACAGGGGGCCTGGTGCACCATCTTGGGAATTTGGGAAGATTATTTATCTTTCTAGAGTGTAAGTTCTTTGAAAGGAAGTGGCCCTCTTTGCTTGGTCTTTTTAATAAAATGCCTGGCACAAAGGGAAGGCTCGCTAAATATTTGTCGACTCAAAGAGGCAGAATTCAATGAGCAAATAACTGTATTATTATCCCTAACATCAAGGATATAGGAAATTAGCCAAAAGTGTCAGCCACATGGAAGCTTCTGTGCCCTGATGGTGGATAAGACTGATGATAACAATGAGGATGATCGTTCCTATGCATTGGTCGAATCCTTAAAGAGATGTAAGCAGAGAGACACGCCATATCAGTGGGCACTGTGGTGGGTAGGAGCAGGTCCTGGATCAGACTGCTTGGTTCAAATACTGGTGTTACCACCTCCTACCTGGGTGGCTTTGAGCAAGTTACCTAACGTAACCACGTCTCAGTGTCCTCATGTGTAAAGCAGAGCTGATCACACTACCCCATTGGATGCTGGTGGGGGACTGTGGGAAAGCACTATGTAAAGCACCCTTAGCAGGCTGCCTAGGGCAGAGCATATGATCAATAAATGGGACCAATGGTTAGTATTCAAACACAGTTCTCTCCGCTGAGATAAGAGAACATTAGCAGGGAGATTTCCCAAACCAGGGTGAGTTGTCACAAACCATCTGTCATCAGCACTGCGTGGGATCACTTCTGATGCAAGAGGTCAGCTTTGGGGGCCAGTCGGGTGGGCTGCAAACCCTGGGACCTGGCCAAGAGACCATGCCCAGACATGTACTTTACACACTCAGACTCTGAATCTCACACTAGTAATTAAATATAGATCTGAACATCAGGCCAGACAGTGCACCACTAACGTGTATATGCAATACGCTCACAGGGCAGGCAGTGGCTGGGGAAAGAAGGACATGCTGCTTCTAGACTTTCTGTCCTGGAGGGCAGAGGCTGTGCCTTTTGGCTTCATTTCCAAACAGCAAAAGGCAACACTATGAGCAGATGCAGCTTAGTTAATGCCTTCCGGGTTTGTTTTCCCACGTTGGACAATGCAGTTAGAGCCCAAGCTTAGAAGAAACTGCCTATGGAATCAAAAAGGATGAAAGGAGGAAAAATACCTGGCTCGCTCCCCAAGCACTGTGTCCCAGCTGGCTCGGGCTGCCTTGGAATGAGGCAGGGTTGTTGGGATGTAATTGCCCGGGCAGAGATATGAGGTATGCAGGCCTACGTGCGCTGTAGCACACACTACCGGGAGGGACTCTGTTTAGTGAGTGTCCATCTGATAACAATCTGGATCCTTAAGATGCCAGCTGCCTGCCAAGCTGGACATGTTCATGCAGTGGCATCCAGAGGTCCAGGAGACAGAACAAAGGGCCTGTTATCGACTCAGTCCTGTGTTAGCATATCATCCTCACCAAAATAAATCTTGGACCAGGCTGGCAGAGAGGCTGTATCCAAGAATCGCAGAGTCTAGAATGGAGACTGTCAAATTCCAAGGGGCTCTCTGATGGCAATTTCAATGTCAATGGTTGAACCTGGGCCGTCTCATTAGGATTTGGCACTCGGGCTCATACCTTCCTAAGAATATTCTTTTCCATGCCTCCCATTGTCGCCAGGCCCCATGAATGCTGGCTCTCTTGGGGCCCTCCTCTTTAGTGCACAACATCCCTCAAGGCCCGAAATCTTCCCTTTCCCCATTTCACTAGGACATAATATTAATTATGGCCAACACATATTTACTACTTACACTGGCCACTTACTGCTCTATACGCTTTAGATATATTTTAACTCATTTACTCATTGCAGCAACCTGAGGAGATGTGTACAATTATTTTCCCATTTAACAGATAGATAAATTGAGGCACCGAGAGGTTAAATAATTTACCCAAAGTCACGTAGAGCCAGGAAGCAAGTCCAGGTAGTTTGGATCCAGAGTTCCTGTTCTTATCTATTATGCTATACTTCCTTTCTATCCATGACCCATTTCATACTGATAAAAATTTTGAGAAGGCATCATATTCCTCGGTCTATTCTTCGGAATAAATAGCACTCCACTGCAGAGGTAGGATTTGATAACTTCCTATTTTGTGTATAGTAAAATTGGGAAATGTTTACAAATTAGGAGTGGCTAGGAAGGGAAGCTGAACTGCCCAAGAAACTTGATATCAGCATTAATATCTAGAACTCTGGTGTTTTTAGCCAAGTGAGTACTTGGGCAAAGTGTCTCTCTTGGTACAAGCTATGCCTCGGAGTTTCTGGTTTAACAGAGACATAACTTAGCCCAGTTAGGGGAACTGGGTGTATAGTTAGGAAAAGCAGCTACTGATTCATGGCTTGTTTATAGCACTGCCTCCCCACAGGGGAGCTCTGTGTCCATACTGATGAGCCATTCCCAGGAATCCATCCCAGAAGGAACTCCTTGCAGCCACAGAAATGAAGGAAGGGATCGATGATTGTTGAGCACTTAGTCAGCTAGCATATCATGCTCACAGAAAGCCTGGGGTTAGTTGCAATTTTCCCCATCTTGGAGGTGAGACTACTGAGGCCCGGAGATCCTATATACTTGCCCAAGGTAAGTCCTGGTAAATCAGGACTCAAACCTCATCTGATTCCGAAAGAGGGAAGGACCCAGTCCAAGCCCAACTTTTCCAGGAGACTTCCCTGATTCCTTGGACCCACATCAGTCCCTCTGTCTTAAAATACCTATACTACATGTAATTTTTGCCCAATCTAGTGCTTACTAACATTGTTTCACGCTGGGCCAGTCTTATCAGCCAATCAGATTATAAATTTTGGGGGGCAGTGACTGCGGGTTGAATTTTATTTCAGGCTGTTCCTGGGTATTTCAGGGCATGAAAACTGGGGGAAGTAAAGACCTAGAACCACAGTCTGGTCTCCCTGGTCAGGGTAGGTCCATCCACTTCTTCCCCAGAAGGGGCCAGCTTAGCTTTCCAAGTTTCTAAAGCGTTAGCTGGGAATGGCTTTCATGTTACTCTTGCCCTCCTTTGTCAATCTCTTTAAAACTCCTTGCGGCTGGGTCCAGACAGTGCAAAGCATCCCCCAAAGGAAGTAAGTCTTGCTGCATTGTCACGAACTTGGCTTTGGCACAAGAGGAAAGATAGCTGAGTTTTCAGCCCTGCCCCCGCTTTACTTCAGCCCACCATGCAGCAGGCCCCTCTTCCTGGTGTGGCGCCGACCAACATGAGACCCAAGATCTAACCTCAACGCTTCCTGAACCCCAAATACTGTAGACTAGAAATAATGCCACACGGCTGGCATACTCAGGCATGTATGTGTCACCACCAATCAAAGCCAAGATGTATTTCAAGAGAATTTACAAGGCAGAAAGCACCTTCTAATTTAACAAAAAAAAACAAGAAGGCTGGGTGTTTCCTTTCCTTCCCAAAGCAAAGACACAAAAGCTTTTCTCATATTAAAGAGCTGGAACCCACCCAACCTGATTCTCTCCTCTCAGTCAACAAGTACCTCAACGTCAACAACAGTGACCAGGGCATACTGAGTCACGTATGAAAGGCAACACGAGGAGGGTGTCAGCTCTGTCCTACCACCTCTCCAGCACACCGGATAGCTAGGGGATTGTCAGCTGACTGCTTCAAAGGCGAGTAGAGTGGCAGGCTGTTCCAAGTGCCCTGGGAACCTCACACCATAATTTACTACAAACACAGAGCAGGGGCCGCAGAGACAGCTATAAGATAAGATGGTGAAGATATCAGTTCCAGGCCCTTCCTGATGCCTCTCAACTACTTAAATCTCCCCACTTTAAGATAGATCTTGAGGCCACCTTATGCTCCAGTGTGCTGTTCTCTCTCTGCTTTCTAAAGGGACAGATCCTCTGGTCAGTGACTCCACAGGAATATGTCGGTGTATTCTCATGTATTACAGCACACCAATTGCCAGCCTCTTGCCTCCTCCTCCTCGGTTATATGAGCATCTTAAATGCAGGTAACTTTCTTAAGTGGGACTCGCAATTCCAGCTTCAGTCCAGACTAGTGAGGCGTGAACTGAGGTTCCTCTCAAATCCCCATTTCTCGCTGCTTTCTCCTCATGCTCTAAGGTGCATTGGGCAGGACGTTCCCGAGGGCAGGAGTTCTGGGTGATAACCACTGGTTTCCCCTGCCACTCCCAGCCCCTCCTCGAATCGCAGTCCCCTCCAATTTCGTCTCCACTCTGGTTACTCTTGGAGCAGTGCTTTTCCAGGGATGTGTGTGCTCTTTGGTCAAAAAGCAAAAGGAACTGGAGACAAAAGGGAGACCCCTTGCCCTCTTCCTCCCTGGCACTGTCCCCATTTCTCCACAGGTCACTCACCATCTCTCTGGGAAGGAAGGTACCCAGAACTGTCCTTCAGAGGCCATGGAACTAGCTCAGAGCTTCTCAAATAATCTGCAGCAAAGGGCCAGTTTATTATTTTTTTTATAATTTTCAACCTGTTAGAAACTGAAACATTTGTTAAATAAAAATGAATTACTAAAGAAGAATTTAAAATAAAAGGCAAAACAAATGTAAGCCCAACCTTTTTGTTATTGGATTCAATAGTCATAAAATTAGTCTAGCATATTGCTACAAAAGTTTCAAACATTCCCTCTCAGCTCCTGACCTTGTTCCCAGACCAGCGCTGGTTTGAGCAGCTCTGCTCTAACTCAAGGCCCTTGCCTTGACTTAGCCACTGGGAGCCTGGACCACTCATGTCTGACGGATGGGAGAACAGGCCACACCTCAGCGGGTCAGTGATGTCTCATGTCTCTATATTCCAGGGACTCCTTTCTGATTCTTCCTTAGGTTCTAGAAATATTTCCCACATTAGAATAATGCCGACTTCCTGAGGAGGGGATTTGTCTGTACTTCTGACTGCGGATCTAGAGCTACCAGGCTCTAAAGCACCTCGGAGAACAATGAAAGAAACGTACGAGTGAGGAGCAGGCAAAGGCTTTCTGGTTGGAACGAATAGGTATTTTGAAAAGCATCCTCAAAACATGTCAAAAGTCTGAGAATTGTCATCATTGTGACTGGTGAGTCATGGTCCAGGCTGGCACTAATGCAATTGCCAGCAACGCAATTGGCTGCTGTCTATTCAAAAACCTGCTCCTGGAACCATGCGCGGGGTAGTGGGGGGTGAAGGTCAGTCCTTAAATGGCTTTGGACAGGAAAAGAGGGCGAGCTGGTCTACAGCACTCAGGAGGGTCTGGGAAGTAGCTGGGAGGGAACAGTGGCCCAGTTAAAATTCTTTCTTTACTTCCCGAGGAAGCAAAGTGATCTGTCTCTACGCATAACAAAGGACCAATCGCCCTTTTGGAGCAAAATTGGGTGTGATCATCCTTTAGTAGTGGAAGCTGGAAAATGAGGTCCGACAAATTGGCTGGGGGAAAGGACTCCATTTCCTAATTTTAAAAACAGCTTTATTGATGTATAATTGATATCCAATACACTTCACATGTTTACAATGTACAGTCTGACAAGCTTTGACATATGGATGAACCGGGGAAACCACTCCCACAATCACAGTAAGGAGCGTGCCCATCACCACCCAGAATTTCCTGGTACCCTTTTGTAACCTCTGCCTCCCACCTCTTCCCACACCACCTACCAGGCAACCACTTTCTATCACTGTAGATTAGTTTGCATTTTCTAGAATTTTATATGAATGGAATCATACAATATATACTCATGTTTGGTGTGATCTCTCTCAGCAAAATTATTTTGCGATTCATTCATGTTATTGTATCTATCATGTTGTTGATCATTTTTACGGCTGAGTGGTCTTCCACCTCGAAGCAATTTTACATCTCAAGCAAGGTTATCTTGGGACTAAGATTTTGAGGTGTTAAGGGAAGTTTATGAAGATTTGAATTCTTCCTTAGAGTGGATCTTGCTGCCCCTATCTTAGAAAATAAGCCTTTTTTGCTTCAAAATTAAGGATAGAACAAAGAAAAATCAGCCATTTAAGATTCTTAAATGATAAAAGGGATTTTGCAATATGCAAGGTGTGTGGCCTATGAGGAATAAGGAGAAAGAGACCTGAGAAACCAGCATCCTTCCTGCTCGAGACACTTCTCCAGCTTCCTGAATCTCCAGTGCCTGTTCAGTTTGTTTCTTCCCCTGGGGTAGGAAATGCTCTGAAGAGAATGTTCCCATCACAATTGTGATTTTGCTTTTGGAATCTCAAAAAAGGAAGAGTACACTGCAACTCCATAATTAGAGTTACTCATTCATTTGTTCCTGCAATCATTCACTCACCAGACATGGATGAGGGGTGTCTATGTGCCAGGCACCATGGTGGGGATACAGAGCTGCCCTAGGGACTTATAGGAGGACTTGGTTCCTGCTTCCACAGAGTTATAGGGTGTGCAGGCTTCATGGCTGGTTAGTTTTACATCAGACTTCTTCACGATAAATCAGGGATCAGAGATGGCAAACAGGTCAACACAGTGGTTGGGCCAAGCTGTTATCATCCTGGAGGCTGGAAGACAGGATTGAATGTGACAGTGGTGGCAGAGGAAGAGCTCTGGTTCATGGACTATCAAGAAGCACAGCGCCCCACTGACAGTGACAGACAATGCCACCCCAACAACCCCATAGCGGGCAGTGGGGAAGAAAGGAAGACATAGGGGACACATGGAGCATGTCTCCTGGCTCCAAAAACTAGCCTTGGACATGCACATTGTTGGCTGCCCTACCAAAAAGTAGAGCCTATTTTTGTAAATAAGTGGTGGTGGTGTTCTAACAGAAGAAGGTTTCTTTAAAAAGCAGACCTGTATTTGTTCCCAATCCTTCTAGCAAGGCTACACTAAAAGAGCACAGTGGAAAACAGCAGGATACAAAAGTGAATGAGTAAGATGATGATTATAATAAATCAAACAATCTATTCCTTAGAAGGGAGAGGTCTAGTGGAGAACTGTCCAAAGAAAACACACTCAGAAAGTTGAAAACCACTTGTTTGTGTCTTCAAATTTTCTCCAGTGAGTATTGTGCTGCTAAGACTTTGAAGAGTTGCTCTGAGACGCACTCTTCTTGGGAAATATGGATTCTCAGCCAAAGGAAACCACAGTCAACAGTTCGAATTTGCCTGCAGTCTGGAGAGAAGCCCGGAACCATGGAGGGACATCAGAGAAACCAGCGACAGAGGAAGAGTGAGACCTTGAAAGGGGGCTTTCGCCAGCCGGAGGGCTCCACCCTGAGGTGCGGAGAGTGAAGAAGACGCGCAGATGGAAGTGGGGCCTGGGGTTCAGCTGGAGAGCAGGGCAGAGGCAGGCATGAGCGTGCCGCTTCCGAAGGACCAGGGCCAAGGAGGCCAGCACCTGGCTGGGAAGTCACAAGAAAGTAGTTTCTTTTGGCCTCAGGATCCTTGTCTGCAAATGGAAAAGCAGGACTAGGTGATCTTTACGGTCACTTCTAACTCTACACGTGTAGGAATCTGAATTGTATGAATCCTGTCAACATCTCTCCATTGAGGACCTTCCATGTCTGAAGCACTGTGGGTCGGCAACCACAAACATCTCTTCAGTTGAGCTCACACCAATCAGAAACAATTGAACACCTGTTATGAAATGTACAGTGATGTATATTTTCTAGAAAAAGAGTAGTACAAAAGCAGTCCCTGATTACAGCAAAGGCTAAGATAGCACATCTACCTCTTTTATAATGTGACAATCCATTCTGGTTAGGGGTGTCAGAAAAAGGATTCTCCAGAAGTCATGGAATGGAAATTGACCCACGCCTTAGCCGGGAGATGCCGAGGCATTGAGAAAGGCCTGCTGCCCTCATGGGCATCGCTGTCGGAAGAGGTGTTCCTCTTCCGGCTCCCAAAACCAGCTCCAGTCACCACTGTTGACTAAAGTTGGAGGTGAACTGCTGCCTGTTGGTGAGATATGTGAAAACTCACGCACAGATGGGTGGAGCAGGAAGCTGAGGGAAGGTCAGAGAAAAATAAAAGGGGTTTCCTGTGATGAGTCACTGCCTTCTGGGAAACAATTTCAGAAGTGACCACAAAGTCCCCAGCACCTGTCCAAGGCTTGTACTTTGTGCCAAAAGAAAATATGGCAAATGAAGGACTGAGCCACATCTGACAGCCTGCAGGCCATATGCAGGGCAGAGGTCTGAGAAAGAGCCAGGCTGGGCCAAGCACACGTGAGAATTTGCAGATCGCCTGCCGGAGTCTCCAGGGCACGCATGGGGGTGGGCTGAAGACTCCCAGTTCTTCTTTTCCTTAAATGGAGCAAACACTATACTGTTGTTTCTTTCAGTAATCACAGTGTGGATTTTCAGATAAAGTTTTTTTCTTCTTTTTGTTTTTTTTCTATTGCCCTGTGATTAAGGTCAGAGAATATCAGATAAGGTTTTTAAGTGTAAAAACCTTACTGAATCTAGAAAGAAAACAATTTGACCATAATTCTGGGTCTCCAAAGCAAAATGGGAATTGTTGGACCTGACGTGGGATGAATTCCTTTTCTTGGTTTATGTTGATCTGAAAACAAAACCAACATTTATTTCCTCATCCATTAAAAGGGTGTGGTTTATAGGTAGTAGGGTAAAAAGCACAGAGGCAGTCTCGAGCTATTACTAGATGATATATACAACAAGCCGAGAGAGTAACCAAGACATAAGAAGACACAGGAGCCAGAACCCAGGGGATCCAACTCAGGAGAGAGGCGGAGGGCATCTCCCGGGCGACGATGAGGAAGACGTGGAGCAGCCCTGGAGAGCCACCAGTCCTGAAAGGAGACGGGGGACAGGAGCCTCTAGGAGGGCTTGCTCGCTCTACAGAAAAAAAATAATAATGTTTGCACATAGATCAAGCTGTGATATACAGCTCCGTCAGAGAGCTCTGTATGGAAAACTAAGCAACTGCATAAACAGAGCAGAGCTGCCCCTGCCCCCCGACACACATCAAGGCTCACCTCTTCCCCCAGGGCGTCCTGCTTGGCCAGCTCCCCTCCAAGGGCAAGCTCCCTGGAAGCAGGAGCCAGGGAACACATGGAGGGACAAGACATCCAGAAGCTGCCATGGGGCCCTCGATGGAGCAATCGGACTTTATTGGTCATCTCAGAAAAGACTATTGAGAGCTACTTTGGTTTTTAATTTTCAATCTGTTAAAGTTACAAATTTAAAAATCTAGGTCTTCCTCAAGCTTTTAAGTTTAATTTAGAGGTCTTATTACATCCGTTGTCTAAAAACCTCTTATAGCTCTAACAAACTTTAAAAAATGACAAATCTTAGAGTCTTTCAAATATTCCAATACTGACAGTAATTTTAGAATGTCTTCTAATTTAAAACGACAAAACTAAGTCAATTTCTTAATTACATATTTTAAATTGGTATCAAAAGGATGATCATTACTCTAATGGGCCAATTTCCCTTAAATATTGCAAATACTTAAAATACCAAATGTGTACAAATTAACAAAAATATAATGAGTTTCATGATTCTCTTAAACATTTCTACATTTATTTATAAATCTTTGTGGGATTAAAAATGCTTACCCAAAGTCCATGGTTTACTTTACAGCTCACTCTTGGTGTTGGACATTCTATGGGTTTGGACACAAGTATAATGACGTCATAAGGTAAACTATGGACTTGGAGTGGTTATGATGTGTCAGTGTAGGTTCATCAGTTGTAATAAATGCACTCCTCTGATGGGGGATGTTGATAATGCGGCAGGCTATTTATGTGTGGGGATGGAGGTATATGGCAAAATAGAGCAGTTTATTTTTTTAACTGCTCTAAAAAAATAAAGTCTGGCCGGTCCGGTGGTGTAGCGGTTAAGTTTGCGTGTTCCACTTCAGTGGCCCGAGGTTCACCAGTTCGGATCCTGGGGGCAGACCTACACACCAGTCATCAAGCCATGCTGTGGCAGGTGTCCCACATATGAAATAGAAGGAGATGGGCACAGATGTCAGCTCAGGGCTAATCTTCCTCAAAAAAAAAAAAGTAACCATCAAAAACTAAAGCCAATTTTTAAAAAATTGCTTACCCTCTAAGGAAACAATGCCCTCTTAAATAGTCCTAGGTTGCTGTCCCAGACAATTTTGGGGGTGCTATCTCAGCTGGATGAGGCTTCTGGTGGTGACCCCACAGGTGTCTGCCTCCAGCCCGCTGTCATGTGGAGGATGTTTCTGAATTGCCTTGTCTCATAGACTGCCTCCCAAAGATTCCAGTAACTCCTTTTCTGACTCTATTCTCCCCCAGTTCACCACCTGGTTAGTTCCAACCAATCTATTTTCTCTGCCATTTTGTTCTTAATTTTTTTCTTATTCATCCTTTTAGCACCACAGATCTTACAGATATTTCAGTGCCACCCCATGGAATTCCTCACAGTGCTGTCCACCTCTGTTTTCCCAGTTCCAAGTTCATGCCACTGATGGGAAGAAGAAGACGGAGAAGGTAAAGCGTATTTAAATTTCTGCATGGCTTTCGCCATAGCACCCTCCTCTCTATAAGGATCAGGGAACAAGCAGAGAAGGTACCATTGCCCCTGAACTCTTAATGCACCCTGGGGTCAGCCCCATCACTTCTCGTCTGCCTGAGCTCAGGATTCTCCCTGTAGAGTCCTGAAGGCCCAGGCCTCCAGGCCCAGGGTCAGTTCACAGAGCCAAAGGGGCTGATCAGGCTGGCGAGTGATTTTGCTTGTCTCTCTCTCTCTCACACACACACACACACACACACCCCTCTATACAACTGATCCTCTGTGGCCCTGGACACAGGCTCATAATCATTCCCATCCACTATCACGAGGCCAGGCCCTTCCACGTTGAAATTCCTAAGCAGGTTACACGAACTCTGTCACATCCTTTGGCTGTTGACAGTGGAGCTGCCTAACCTATTTCCTTTCTGGTCTTCGTTTACAGCAGTCTCACTTAAATACAAAATAGGTTTTGGTACCAAGGCAGACAAGTTGAATGACTAGTTTAGAACAGACTGTTTGGGGGAGGGGGATAATTTAACAAAACAGATGTGGCGAGGCTCCCTCCTCCCACCACGGGGGGCAGTGGTGCAGTGAGTGGAAGAGCACTGGACACAGAGTCGGGGGCTTGGTCTCCAATCCAGTTTCTGTGACAAACTCTGCATCTTGGGCCCAACTCCCATGAGCCTTGGTTCCTTCACCTGTGACATCACTGACATGGACACAGGAGCAATTGACAAGGGTGTTTCCAAGATTAAACTTGAAAGTACACAACATAAATGAAGTCTTCAGTTGGCTCCCAAGATCTGACACATTCCTGGTTTTCCTCCTGCCTCATCAGCTGGTCCACCTCAGTCTCTTTGCTGGCTCTTCCTCATCTCCCCAACCTCTAAAGATTGGGTTCAATCCTTGTACTTCTGCTCTCCATCACTACTTACCTGATGCTCTTACCCAGTCACGTGGCTTTAATATCATCTGTAGGCCGATGACTCCCACATTCCTATCTCCAGCCCAGAACTCTCCCCTGAACTGCAGACTCGTCTTTCCACCGCCTACTCATCATCTCAGCTTGGGTGACAAATAGGCATCTCGAACTGTACATTCCAGCCCTATTCTCCAGCAGTCTTTCCTTGTTCAGTAAATGGCAATTCCCTCCTTCCAGTTGATTGGATCCAAAATCTGTGCACTCATCCCTGACTCATCTCTTTCACACCTCCCATCCATTCCATCAGCAAATCCTTTGAGTTATCTTCAAAAGATATCCTGAAGCAGACTGTTCCTCACCACCTCCACTGCCACCACCCTGAGGAAGCCCACATTATGTCTTACCTGGATTCTTGCTGTAGTTTCCGAAGTGGTCTCCTTGGTTCTGGCCTCGGCCCCTTCCACCCTCCTCAGTCTGTTTTCAACACAGCAGACACAGTGAAGACTGTTAAAATATAAATTAGATCATGTCATTCCTGTCCACAAGACCTTTCAACTTCTACCCATCATATTCAGAGAAGTTACTGTTACACATCACTCACTACAAAATGGGAGCCATAATAGTGCCTACTTCATGGTGTTGTGAAGATTCAAAGAGTCAATATATGTAAAGGACCTAGAACTAATACTGATTGAGTGTTTGCCACGGATCAAGCCCTGCCCTCCATACTGATATATATTAACTCATCATGTATTAACTCATTACTTCTCAGAAGAATTCTAAGGTATATACTATTATTATACCCATTTTACAGTTGAGCAAACTGCAATGTGTTACAGAGAAGGTAAGTAACTCCCCCAGGTCACACAGCTAGTGAGGGCAGAACTGGGCTTCCACTCCTGGTAGTTGGCTCCAAAGACTGTGTGTTCACTACTTGGCCTCATCAGTAAGCCTTCTTCTGTGATGTACTCTTTAGAGGTTGACTAGTATCCCATCCAATGGAGGGACCATTCATTTACTTAATCAGTTCCTCATTAAGTCCTCTGATCATTCTGGAGGTTCTCATTTAAGCTAATAAATTCATTTATTCAACAAATATTATTGAATAACAATATACTAGGCACTGGGGACAGAGGAATGAACAACCAAAAAATGGACACCGAACTCTGTCCTCATGGAGCTTACATTCTTCTGGAAGTACTTTTGATAATGGAAGGGTTTCTAGAGACCTGACTGGCTTGTTGACGAGTCGTTCTGCTCTCCTGAGGCGATCAGGCTCAACTTCGTTCGTTTGGCACCTCTCTTGGGCAAGGCCCTTGGCTGACTTCTGTGGGAGGAACAACAATGATTCAGACGTGGACCTTGCTCTCGGGAGGTTGTACATTAATGTGCGCCTGGGTATCTCTAGGAAGCAGTTCTTGTCGAACTTGTTTCTGGGTCTCTCCAGTGCCTTTTTTCATTTGCACACCTCTGATTAAACATCTCAGCTCCCTAAGGAGGAGGAACACTCTTGTGGCTTCCTTCTCTTCTCACAGAGCCTAGAAGAGTGCTTTGAATATGCTGGTTTCACAGTTTTATGTTCTTTGTTGAGCACCAAGTTCTAGAAAGATTCCTCAAAAAACTCTTTGGCCACAAATTTTATTCCCCATCTTTCTGCCCTTATTAAGGCCACAGAAGTTTAGTCCATCAGCAGACAGAAGAAGATAAGGCTGTGAGCTACCTTTTGTAATTATGAGTATTTTAATCGTCCTCTTCCCGACGAGTTTTAACCTGTCAGTCACTAGGATGGAGGAGGCCTGATGACCTGTTGAATGCTCACTTCAAAATACAGCAGATGAATTGCGTCACAAACACACACACACACACATCCTGCTTAACACCCTTCAAGGGTTTCCCATCATTCGGGAGGAAAAAACAGCCAAATCCTCAGCAAGGCCTCCAATGCACATGGCCTGAGTGGCCTGGCTGTGCCTGCCCCTCCAGCCTGGCCTTACGGTAGACCATGAATCTCCTTGCTTTCTGCACTCCAACCACAGGGCCTACTTGTGGTTCCCCAAACAACCTGCTCCGTTCTGCCACAAGGCTTTTGCATGTCCAGTTCCCTCTTCCTAGAAAGCATTTTTTCCTCCAATCTTCAGATTCAACTCAATCATTACTTCCTTGGGAAAGCCTTCACTGGCCCAGGGCCCGAGGCTTTAGCCAGCATCAGTCCTTCTCAGAGCATCAGTACCTCTCCTTCAGGGGTACTGTTTACCTGTTCATTCATGCTGGTGGCAATTTTACTTGTATACGTGAAAATAAGTCATTACTGTCTCTCCTCCACTAAACTCTGTGCTTCCCGAGAGCAAGGACCATTTCTGGTTCTGCTCACCGTTGTGCATCCAGAATAGAGCACAGTGCTGGAAACTAAAAAAGTGCTCATTCGCTCAACACATATTTAATGAGCACCTTTTGTGTGCCCGCCCTATTCTGTGTGCTGGGGATACATGAGTGAACAAGCCACAGCCCCTGCCTTCCTGGGGCTTACATTCTGGTTTGGAGAAGAGAAAATAAACAGAGAAGCAAGGCGATTTCAGGGAACAATAAGTGCTATCAGGATAAGGGTGTAGGATGTGACCCCTGGGGATAGGTGGGACGCTGTTTCAGATAACCGTCAGGGGAGGCCTCTATCAGGAGGTGGCATGTGAGCAGAGTCCTGAGCATTCTGAAGAGGGCTGGATTTTCAGAGCAAAACTTGGGACAGTCCCAGGCAAACCAGGACAGTTGATGACCCTAGCACGGAATGTTGCTGGGAGCCTGCCCACGCCTTCGGCCACTTACTCAGGAAAACGGTTCTCCCACACATTCTAAATCTCTTTTCCAGAAACATTAACTTTTTGAGAAATACAGTTTAGAACTTAATAAATGCTTTGTAATGATGAGGAAGCTTCCCAGGAATCCACACCCACTCAGCTTAAGAATGACCCTGGCTTTGGTATTGATCCCGGCTTTAGGACTCCCAGTCACACCAGGCCCCCTCCTGCAAACCTTGGCTCTTGGAGGCCCATATTTGGATTTCCATTTGGGTGGAATCCACTCACCAGGAAAAGCTCATTTCCTCCTTCCCTCTGGTTCACACTCTCAGCCTGGAGACTTCTTCCACAATACCCCCTGGCAGACTCCTGCACTCTCTCTTGGCTGGCTGTGCCTCCAGTGAGTTCTGCCCAATAATCAACTACCTGTAATAAACTACAGAGTGGTCGATCCCTGCCCAGTGGTATTCCCACTCCTTTGGGCAAACGGTCAAGCCAACTCTGCCTAAATAATTGGGGGTGGGGGGGGGCTGCCCCCTTGGCACAGGTGCTAATTCTTCCCCACTCTAACTGCTCTAAACTACTTCCTTTTTTGCTTTTTTGCTGAGGAAGATTGTCACTCAGCTAACATCTGTGCTAATCCTCCTCTATTGTGTATCTGGGACACTGCTACAGAGTGGCTTGATGAGTGGTGTGTAGGCCCTCACCCAGGATCCAAACCTGTGAACCCCAAGCTGCCAAAGCAGAGTGCACGAACTTTAACCACTACACCACCAGGCGGGCCCCTCTAAACTATCTCTTTAATGGATTTCAAAATAGTTCACTGACTAAACTTATTTTTCATTTCATCTGTGGTCAAATTCCTAAGCCGTTGTCACACGCCTCTCTTCTTCCTCATCCTCTTTCCCACCCTCGTTTCTCCCTCCCCTTCTCCTCTTGCCTCCCCACCTGCTCCTACTGATCTGAGTGTCCTGGGGCTCCAGAGCCAAACCTCCAGGGCTCTAGTCCCAACTCTCCTCTCACCAACTGTTTGGGTAACATTAGCACCTACCTCCTTGGGAGGATTGAAAGAGTTAATGTAGGTTAAGCCACTAGAACAGTGGCACACAGTAGGCCTTCACATGGATTCACTGGGCAAATGGAATGCTAGCTCTTATTACTGCCCCTGAGACCTGAGGGCCCTCTGTGCCCTGCTCAGAGAGTAAGTGGCTGCCTCTTATGGCTTTATTTGAAAAGACAAAATATCCTTTTGTCCAAATGCCTCCTTCCTAACTTTGAAATCCCTACAACTAGCATCTTCATTCAATAGAGCACACGAGAAGGAGGGGAAACATTATAACAATTACCCATTCTTTTTCCAGGAGGGCTTATCAGATTAAATGGAAGAAGAGGGGCTGGCCCGGTGGTGCAGTGGTTAAGTTCGCACGTTCTGCTTCAGCGGCCTGGGGTTCGCCGGTTCGGATTCCAGGTGTGGACTTATGCACCGCTTGGCAAGCCATGCTGTGGCAGGCATCCCACATATAAAGTAGAGGAAGATGGGCATGGATTTTAGCTCAGGGCCAGTCTTCCTCAGCAAAAAGAGGAGGATTGGCAGGAGATGTTAGGTCAGGGCTAATCTTCTTCAAAAAAAAAAGAAGGAAGAAGAATACTAGGGACTAAAGACAGACAGGGAGGAGAGACTATGTGCCTTGTTGAAAAGAGAAGGTCAAAAGTGGTGGGGGCCGGGGGGGGGGGGGGTTGCGCCTCTAGAGCCAGCCCTGATGGCCTACTGGTTAAAGTTCGGTGCACTCCACTTCTGTGGCCCAGGTTCAGTTCCTGGGTGCAGAACCACACCACTCATCTTTCAGTAGACATGCCATGGTGGCAGCTCACATAGAACTAGAAGGACTTACAACTAGAATGTACAACTATGTACTGGGACTTTGGGGAGGAAAAAGAAAGAGAGGAAGATTAGCAACAGATATTAGCTCAGGGCAAATCTTTCCCAGCAAAAAAAAACAAGGGGGAGCTCTCTAAGGAGGGGAGGCCTCATGAGGGCACTGGGCTCTCAAGCGGGCGAGGGAAGCTGAAGCAGAGGGCATGGAGGAGTGGGAAGGGTATGGATAGGAGAGATGCAAAGATAAAATTCGTGTAGGGTGATGGAACCAACTCGTTTTCTAGATCAACCCACCTTCCCTCCCCAGCTCTGGGCTGCTTACTGCAGGCATTCAGGCCAGGAGAAAATAGCCTGGATTTTCATGCCAGCATCAACTCAGAGCAAATTCCAGTTCTACCATTTACTAATTGACAAAGATAACTGACCTCTCTAAACCACGGATTCCTCTTCTGTAAAAACAACACAAAACCAAAACTCTCCAAGAGTTGTGAGGATTAAATAAGCAAAAACATGTGACATGCCAGCTTAGTGCCTCGCTCCCAGTAGGTGCTTTCTTCTAACCATCACCCCAACACGCGCCTGGAGCATACTCAGTCAGCTTTCTCAACACACTAAATCCATAACTTCGTGCACATTTTCACGTCTAGTTTTACATGTAATTGATCACATCCAATTCAACTCAATAAAGAGTTTACAGAACGCCAAACACTAAACTGAGTGCTAGGAACACAACAGGATCAGGTCCCACTTGCTCCTCCCCCCAAAACTTATAGCTTACTGGGGAGCCTGGTGATCAGACATGTAGTTACGACAGTAGTGAGCATTCCAATAAGGTAAACACAGGAGCTGCCAAACACACACAGAGCTCTCATATTATATAATAAATGCATATATGAGATCTACATCCTTTATGCTGTGTCAGGACTCAGCAATCAATACAGCCACAATAGAAATCTACAGAGACATCACAGTGGGGCTCATTATTAGGTTGAAAGTAGCTCCAAAGTTAGCACAAAACTGAAAACTACATAAGCAATCACCTCTAAAAACAATCCCTTTATTACCCATAAAGTACAGTACACATGGTTTTGATGTACAACCATGGATAGTTATGTAAGTATGTAAATATGTAATAATCTACAATAATAAAGAATATGTAAAATATATTTATACATTTTTATTATACAGAAGAGACCAAAAGGTGAATTGGAAAAAGGTTGCAAAATTCAATGTTCCTCGTGTAAAACCTTTCAGTAGAAATGCATGTTTATTTCTGACAAAGTCCTAAAAGGTCAATATGCAGCTGCGATGCAACGCACACTTACACTCAACTGCCCTGAGCTTTTCTCAGAAAGTGTAAATAAAGGCCGCAGATTCAGGAAATCATCCTTTAGTTCTGGTGGGATCCGGTTGATCTTACAGAGTAATAGAAAGAAAACTAGCCCTCTAAACCTTACTAGCCTTGCATCCTTGGACAAGTGATAGAAGCATAAAATCTCAAGGTTTTAAGGGAACTTAAAGATCATTAGTCCAACTTCTCATTAGATGTTTCAGTCCCTCCCAAGGGATCAGCAACCTCTACTTAGATCACTCCAGTGGCTAGAAACCACCCATTCCACCTAAGAACGCCTCCAGCAAGAGTAATTAGACA